ATTAATTTATATAAAAATTATAAAATTAAATTTTATTTTTAATATTAATATCATGTAAAATGATTTCATTTGTCCATAAAAATTGAAAAAGGCATATAATTCGGTCCAATTTTACTTCAGTCAAGTGACTTGACCAAAATAATTTGGCGTCAATTGGCGCAGACAAATTGGTCAAGTGGGTTGACCGAATTATGAAGTACTAGTTTACTCGGTCAAGCCACTTGACAGAATAAAAAAGGAAAAAATCTACTGTTATCTTAACTTTAAATATTAAAAAATAACATAAAATATTATTAAAATTGACCGAAATAAAATTCTGAACCAATTTGACATGCCAAGTCACGGTTCTGAAATTGAAAGAAGCATGGAAAATCATGCTGACCGAAACAAGCATGGCAACTCTAATTTCAGATCTTCCATGCTTCTTAGCAAATCTAATTTTAGATTTTATGAAATTAAAAAAAAAATCATCTTTAATTCGGTCAAGCTACTTGACCGAACAATGAAAAGAATTATTTTGGTCAAGTGGCTTGACCGAAATAAGCTACCCAAAAAATAAAAGAACCGCTAGAAAATCTTGAATTTCTCTCTACATATAATTCAGTCAAAATATGTGACCGAAATAATTTCATAAATGTTTCAATCCTGCGCTGCCATTCAATTTGTTTAATCAAAAATGTTTGAAATTTTTGCCCTTTTTGGTTCGGTCAGTATGACTGTCGAAATATTACTGGCTATTTTTATATGAGATGGTAGACTGTTTTCATCAATTCTAACTTCTCTTTCATTTCTTTCTTCTCCAATGTCTTCAACACATTTCTTTACCATTTATTCCTCTTCATTTTCCACAATTTTCTTTGAATTTTCATTATATATTCATGTGTTCATCTTTCTTTTTCTACTACTTGTTGATTAATCCTCTTCTTTAGTCTTTTTCTTCAAATTTAATTCGCATTCTCCACAATTTTTCCTCCTAAATATTACTAATTCCTTTCTTTACTTTCAGCTCTCTTTTACTTTCAATTTCTTTAATTATTTGATTATGCGCATTTTTCTTTAGTTTCTATTATCTTATATATATGTTTTTGGTGTTTATACTAATAATTGAATTTTTTATTTGCAAAGGTTCTCTAATTTGGTGAAGAATGGGCCACAATTATGGAGGTAATTTTATTGCATTATTCATACACATCTATATTTTTCATTTATCT